ATGTTGTATGACGCGAAACGTATACGCGCACATTGTTTTTGATTTTTCCCGCAGTGTTTCGGAAAGAGTCGACGGACCTAACATAGATATTCAAAAAGCAGGGAAAAATGTATTTCCAACGAGATAAATTTCAAGAGCTCCCGGGCTTCCTAAGTAACCGTACTTAGTGCACGAAAGCGCCAGGTGACTAATACCGGTATGACGTGAAACGTATACGCGCACGTGTTTTTGATTTTTCCGGCAGTCTTCCGGAAAGAGTCGACTTACCTAACATAGATTTTCGGAAAGCAAGGAAAATTTTCTATCCGACGAGATAAATTTCAAGAGCTCCCGGGCTTTTTAAATAACCGTACATAGTGCACGAAAGCGAAAGGTGACTAATGCTGGTATGATGCAAAACGTATAAGCGCGCGTGGTTTTTGATTTTTCCGACGATATTTCGGATAGAGTCGTCGGACCTAACATAGACATTAAGAAAGCAAGGAAAATTTTCTTTCCGACGAGATAAATTTCAAGAGCTATGGGGCTTTTTAATTAACCGTACTTAGTGCACGAAAGCGACTGGTGACTAATGTTGTATGACGCGAAACGTATACGCGCACATGGTTTTTGATTTTTCCCGCAGTGTTCCGAAAATAGTCAACGGACCTAACATAAATATTCAGAAAGCCAAGAAAAATATCTTTCCATCGAGATAAATTTCAAGAGTACACGGGCTTCTTAAGTAACCGTACTTAGTGCACGAAAGCCCCAGGTGACTAATACCGGTATGACGCGAAACGTATATGCGCGCGTGTTTTTGATTTTTCCGGCAGTCTTCCGGAAAGAGTCGACTTACCTAACATAGATATTCGGAAAGCAAGGAAAATTTTCTATCCGACGAGATAAATTTCAAGAGCTACCGGGCTTCCTAAGTAACCGTACTTAGTGCACGAAAGCGCCAGGTGACTTATGCCGTATGACGCGAAACGTATACGCTTGCATGCTCTTTTTTTTTTCCCGCAAAGTTCCGGAAAGAGTTGACGGACCTAACATAGATATTCAAAAATACGGTAAAAATATCTTTCTAACGAGATAAATTTCAGTGCCCTGGGGCTTTTTAATTAACCGTACTTAGTGCACGATAGGGCCTGGTGACTAATGTTGTATGACGCGAAACGTATACGCGCACATTGTTTTTGATTTTTCCCGCAGTGTTCCGGAAAGAGTCGACGGACCTAACATAGATATTCAAAAAGCTGGGAAAAATGTATTTCCAACGAGATAAATTTCAAGAGCTCCCGGGCTTCCTAAGTAACCGTACTTAGTGCACGAAAGCGCCTGGTGACTAATACCGGTATGACGCGAAACGTATACGCGCACGTGTTTTTGATTTTTCCGACGGTATTTCGGATAGAGTCGACTTACCTAACATAGATATTCGGAAAGCAAGGAAAATTTTCTATCCGACGAGATAAATTTCAAGAGCTCCCGGGCTTTTTAAATAACCGTACTTAGTGCACGAAAGCGCCAGGTGACTCATGCCGGTATGACGCGAAACGTATACGCGCGCGTGGTTTTAGATTTTTCCCGCAGTGTTCCTGAAAGAGTCGACGGACCTAATATAGATATTTGGAAAGCCATGAAAATTTACTACCTGTTGGGCAATTAGGTAAAAAGTAAAAACGCATTATAGTAATGTAGAAAACATGCTTTTGCTCTTTGCGGCATCAGCGGACTGTATTGAATAATGTATAAAAAGTATTACAAAACGTACAGGGCACAATACATGACTTAAAGATAATAACATAACCTCACATATCTCGTTGTAACCGCACTAGGTCAATCGAACAAATTGAGAGTGATAAAGTATAATGATAAAATAACAATAGTAATAAATAATATTGATAACAGAATTAACGTTTAAACAACAAGGATTAACATTTAATTAACACCGCCCACCTTGAGCGTCAGTCTCAAAAAAAAGAGAGAAAATGTTCAGGTAACTAGGATTAACTAAGATTCTAGAGGTAACTTGAGAAGTTTAGTAATGGGCCTCTTGTAAGTGGAATCTGCAGTGCGGATGGTGACAACTCTCACCAGGTTGTCATGTGTGCTTGGATGTGTGGCGATGACTCTAGCCAATGTCCATTGAAGAGGTGAGGTGTTGTCGTCCTTGACAACGACAAGATCGTCCACTTGCAGGTTAGACTGTGGTGTACGCCATTTGAGGCGTTGTTGTAGAGTGTTGAGGTATTCGGAAGACCACTGTCGCCAGAATTGCTGTTGCTGCTGTTGGAGTAACTTCCAGCGGTTAAGACGGTTACAGGGTGTGGTGAGATAATCAAGACTGGGCACAGCAAGCAAAGGTTCTCCAATCAAGAAGTGTCCAGGTGTAAGTGCAGAGTAATCACTAGAGTCCATCGACATAGCACACAGTGGTCTGGAATTCAGGATCGCCTCAATCTGGCAGAACAGTGTCTCAAGTTCTTCGTGCGTGTAGACCTGATGGCCAGTGATGCGCTTCAGAATAGACTTGCAGGACTTGATGTTGGCCTCCCATATGCCACCAATATGTGGGGCAGCTGGTGGTATGAACTGCCAGGTCATCTCACGCTGTAAACAGTAACCGCTTAACTTGTCTTGTACATTTGTAGACCGAAGGAATGTGTACAGTTCACGCAGTGTGTTTTTGGCACCAACAAAGTTTGTCCCATTGTCACTCATTATGATGGAAGGGTACCCACGTCGGGATACAAATCGGCGCAATGTTGCAAGAAATGCTTCTGTACTTAAATCACTTACCACCTCGAGATGAACAGCCTTTGTAACAAGGCAGACGAAGAGTGCTAGGTAGCTCTTGGTGTAAACACGCGTGCGGCCTCGCGGCAAGCGCGTAGTAAACGGCCCAGCATAGTCAACTCCACATTGTCTGAAGGGTTTTGATACGGTGATGCGTGAGGGTGGTAGATCAGCCATCATCTGTTCGCTTTTGAGTGGCCGAAAGCGATAGCAGCGTACACATTGATGGATGATCCGTTTGATTGTACTACGTCCATGTATGATCCAATAACGTCCACGTAGAACAGCCATGGTTACGTTCAGACCAGAGTGT